ATGGCTCCAGTTCTACTAATATTTTTACCTCTGCCAAGGATCTTGTATTTTTGCTGTTGGTTTGTTTGACTTGTTTTTTTTTTTAATTCAGCAGGAATACACATGGGTGGATCCAGGATTTTATTTTTTTTGCATTTTCACTGATTTACCAGGGAATAATGCACGAATCTTGACAGAAAAAAAGATCTATATTAAGGGAGCTGATATGTATGAGCGAGTGAGTGCACTTTGGTAGTGCTTGGTTGAATTTAAGGAGACTGTTGGCAGAGTTATATGCTCTACTGAGTGCTATTCTAGTTTAACATTTGACCATCCAATAATTGTTTCATGGCAAACCCGGCTGTACTACTGTGCCAAAGTAAGGTGGACCAAAACTTGTGTGTACTAAAACACCTACAGGGGCAGTAGTTGCAATACTGGTGTGTTACTAAAATGGGAAAATGACATCAAATATTACTTAAAAAATGTTTTGTTAATGAATGTGCCCATTGTTAAGTGTAATGTAATATGTAACTTGTCAGTCACTCTTATATCAAGTGTGTGTGTGTGTGTGTGTGTGTGTGTGTGTGTGTGTGAGCAGGCTAGATCTAACAGAGTTAACAGAGCTCTAGGGACCCATGTGGGTTATCCAGGAATGACAAGTGAATATGTCAGAGAGCTGCAGGCTTTGCCCCTCAGCCTTGCTGCCTCGTCACATCAGACATGGTGAGAGGCCACGGTTCGTGGCAGCCGCTCTGTTTGCTGTTTTAGGCTCGATTGTGCTGAGTGCTGGGCCTGTGTCCCTGTGTCTCCCGCCGCCTCTGTTTATTTGACTTTTCCCAGTTTTAAATTGATTGTAGATACATTGCTTTCTTATGAGTTTAGTTTTTAAACAGGGTCAGTGCATGGTTTGGCAACAGCTGAACATTTTTATTACCCCCTGGCTTCATTGTGCTGCTAGTCTACTGGATTTTACTGCATTTAACATTACTGTAATACCTTCCTTTTCTTCTTCTTCATTCAGTTTATGTGGCAACCAATGTCAAGTTGCATTATCGCCAGCCACTGTGCGTTTCAGTACCCTATGTTGATATATTATATACCATTGAACATGTTTAGTGTTTTGTTCATCATGTAAATCCAGACTTCCTTAAAGATTGGGCTCCCTTGATTTTGGACTTGACGTGGGTTGCCACCCACCAATAAACCGAAAGAAAAAGAGGAAGAAGAAGAAGAAGAAGGGGACTCTTTAGAAAGAATGGAACCCTAATGAGGCACTTGAAGTGCTCTTAGTCCCCATGAAGGGACATTATTCACCACGGGGACCAAGTAAGGGTAATGTCTTTGCACCAAGGAGATAGAGTGTGATGCCAATCCGGATATAAATTATTGATACTCACTTGTCTGATGTAGTTTTTTTATATGGTTGGAGCAAACTACATCTGGTGACTCACATTTTACAGTTTGAAGTAAAATGAAGTATAAAGTCTGCAGGCTCACACCTTCAATGAGCAATCTTATCTTACTCATATGTTGCTTGGATGCTCACCCTTTGGATGGCATGGTTATCCTACAAGCTATTGTCATCTCTACCCTCACGGACTGCTCTTGAACATGGTAGATGATGATTTTCTCTCTGACTGAGCCCACGATTAGCTGTTTGCATCCATAAGTCAACAGCAGGCATTAGGTCATATGACCTAGGGGAGGCCCCAGTCTTCCCATCTGCATGATGAAGTGCCCTTGGGCAAGATGCTGAACCCCGAATTGCCCCTCATAGAACAGAAAGTGCTGCTAATAGATGCACTGTATGAATGTGTGTGTGAATGGGTGAAGGAAAAACTGTACTGTAAAGCACTATGAGTGCTCATCAAGACTAGAAAAGCTCTACATAAATACAAACCATGAATTATTTGTATGACTAACCATAGTTACCATTTCCAAAAATCTGTTGCTGCCCATCTAGACTCAAACTCAGCCCCGCTAATATCAATCAATCAAATTTTATTTGTATAGCCCATATTCACAAATCAAAATTTGTCTCATAGGGCTTTAACAAGATGTGACATCCTCTGCCCTTAGTCCTCAACTAGAGTAAGGAAAAAATAGAGTAGAGAGGCACATGTGATCCCTCTCCCAGGACCGACATAAGTGCAACACATGCCACTTGTAATGGAGAACGTCAGAAAAATAAGAGTAATTACAGCATTGGTTAGAATAAACACTTTGTAACATAATGGAAGGTACATTAATTAAGGAATTATTGTCAGTAATGGTAGAATATCAGAGGAGACATATTGTTTATCAAGCAGTCTTGTTGTAATCATAGTCCACGATTGGCTGCCACCACGATCAGGATACAACATCATAATCTATCATCATGATCCAATGCCAGTACCTTGCTGCTATATGAAACCAGGAGTTAAAATACATAGTATGGATGTAGCCTCTTTCAACACACTGACATATTTCAGATGATACATCTACTTTCCAATTCATGAATTAGACCTGTCAATATGTCAGTATTTAAAACTCAGTCTCATCTGACTCCGTTTTTGAATTCATTAGTAGTCGGATCGTTGAAACCGGATAGAGGTGAGCTGTGAAATGCTTCCAGTGACAAGGAATCACATATAAGCATATGATAAGAATATTTGCATTTTTTTATAAGAGTCAGTGCCAGTCACATAGTGGAATATGGAATCATGCAGGCAGATTGGGGTGCAGATCTCTAGGGTGCGGGAGGAACACATAATATGAAAAGATCACCATCAAAATGCGGCTGCCACTGGTAATATGCTGGCCACGAATAAATCAGTGTGAAACACCGAGAAGTGTGAAAATACATTGGGTTCATTAAGAAACTGTTGCGGGTCAGAGAATGTCAGCTGAGTAGACGGTCCTTCAGTGTGGCTAAGGACACATTTGTGTTCACACTGTTAAAGGAATGTGGCCTCATGTGTACCAGAGCACCTCTGAATTCGAGTGATTGGATCTCAAATGCGTCTTTTATATGTCTTGGGTGTGTTCACACTTGTACTTAGAGCTGTCCACTTGGGATCAGATCACTCAGGATGGAAGTTAACACCAGATCTGATGAGAGTTTGTGATTTCCTGGACTTCATGTTCTTTTCTGTTGTAGTTTGGCAAATAAATGACATACCAAACGCTGCCTTCGGTTTTTCACTCAGTTCCAAACTGATTATCTGTGCTCTGCATGATGCAGGCCCGTCTTGTGAATGAATCAGAATCAGACAGTGAAATCAAGAGGATGACCGGGTTTATGATCCTGGCTGTGACTGTAATCAACAGTTTAAACTATGTTCATGTTTTCTTTACTTCTTTACTCTTTCAATGCTGTCTTTATCACGCCATGTTTTGAGAAGAAATCTCATGGGCTGACCACAGATATACATTAAAGTTCAGAGGATAATTGGTGCTGATGATGAAGCGGAAATGTGGCATCAAAAGAGTTGTTCAAGGACCTTTGGCTGTTGATTGGACAACAGAGAAGCATTTATATGTTTTTTTTCTTTTTGATATCAGGGCAACCGACCTCTGCTCTGATGATGTGACAGAACTCTGTATTTGTATTATTGTGTTCTGTTCTCACTCGTTTCATATTGGTTTGACCAGGGTGAATATATAATGTTGACATGAACCACCACATAACATAAACTTCTCTTAAATTGGTCAACTCTTTCTCTGTTGGGTTATGCTTACGACACACACACACACACATATTGTCATCAGACATGTCACGCACAATGGTGCTGGCTAGGGAGAACCCAAAAGCACGCCGACAGACAGTCTTAGTTTGGGCAACGTGGTTTATTCACCGACAGGCAGAGAAAAGACAGGCAGAGGTCAAAACCAGGATATCAGTCAGTACAGCAAACAAATMCGAAGGGGCAGGCAAGAAGGGAATCCAAAATCCAAGCGGGGTAGCAGTCAGGTCAGGAACAGGCAGGCAAGAAAGAAAGAAAACAGAGTACAACGCGGGATAGCTAGGCAAGAACACACTAGACAATCTGGCAGGGAGCGAGTGAAAATGACTGGAATTTATACTGAGGAACTAATGAGCAAATGGACTGCAGGTGAGGAGGTGGGCGGGGAAAACCACGTGAGGGAAATGAGATGATTGCAAGGCAGGGAAGAAAGGCAGGCCCTGAAATGACAGGAGAGTTAGTGATGAGACATGGAACCAAACAACAAAAACAAACTAAGAGTTAGTGTAACTACGTTACAAGACATACCTGTTTACTCAGAGTGGGCAAAACAACATTATTTGGTCTTCACGAACACAAATGGCAGTCGTAATTATTGACATATATAGAGCAAGGACGTGAGATTCACTCACTTATCACAGATGTGGTCATAAGAGGCACTTTCAGGATGTCTTTCAATGTGGTTGCGTCCTTCCCTTCCTGCAGATTTGCAGAGATGGGAATGAAAGACGCCACAGAAAAACAGAAGAGGGCAAAAGTCAACCACCAAAGTTTTTTTTGTAGATATAGTAAAGCTACTGTAGCCTATTTACTTGTTGTGTTTTACAGCTCATTGTTTTATTTTGATTAGAATATGTTCTATCAAATATTGAAGTTAATCAGCCAATTCAAATGGTTTTACTGGCTGGCCCAGATGTGCTATCACATGTTACTGAAAAAAGGATTTAATTCTGGAATGTTAACCTTTCGTTGTATATGATCAAGTGGAAATATTGGTTATTTGATGAATTAGAAAATATACATATTCATAAGTTCAAGGCCCACTGTTAATAATTACCTTTTGTGAATTAACCCCACTTCCCCAGGGAACGATTGGTCTGTTAGTCACTGTCATTAAAATGTGAACAAACTGATTGACTGATGTTGATAACTCTGATGGTTGCTCGTTGATGTCACACCAAACCTTCATTCATGTGACCAGTGCGGATAATGACTATCTCCTTTCTGCACGATCAGACAAAGGCACTTTGATTGCATGAAGGTGTCATTGAGGTCTCTCTGTCCTCTGCACAGAGGGGATGAACTGCATGAACAAGGACCATGGCTGTGGCCACATCTGCAGAGAGGCTCCGGGCAAAGGCGGCGTGTCGTGTGAATGCCGCCCTGGCTTTGAGCTGGCCAAAAACCAGAAAGACTGTACATGTACGTATCACATCTGACACGCCCTTAACACACACACACACACACAGACACACACACACACTTTAGTCTGTTGTCAGGCTTATTTACATTAAATGTGAATGTGTTGACAATTCTAGATGTAGTCAAATGGATTTTTCACTTTCTGTCATCTGTTTTTATTCAGTTGACTTATCACTTTATTTTACAATTCATATAGCAGCAAGGCATTAACAATTTGTTTTATAGACTTTGTTTTATTGAATTGCTGTTGCGATGAAGGATCTAAACTGTTCCTCTAATAAACGTCTGTAAAAGCAATGACGGACAAGTTCCAGCAGGACTTCAAAGATAAAATTTGAATGTGGACAATAATACTCAAGCGAGTTAAGCATTTCAGACCAGGCTGAATGTGCTGAGGGATTCAGTAGAGAGAGTTCATGTCTCTACCCCTCTAAACCCCCCACCCCTCGCCACTCCATCCCTGTTTCTCACTCTTCATGCTGAGTGCTTGCAGACATGGAATTTAGGGCTGCTGTTTTTGAGAGGGGAAAAATACGCTTTTAGTTACACTTTGTTTGGCAACACATCTTGTTCTCCTCTCAGGCGGTCAGAGTGTAAAGATTGTGAAAGCCGCTGAAAGGCTCTAATGTGTCCCCCGCTGTGGTAATATTTCATTAGCAGCAAGGGACCCTGTGCTGTGCCGGCCTGTTGAGCACGGCGGCACAGGACGGTAATAAATGAGCGATGAAAGCCACGGCAGTTATGTCTACAACATACATACACACACATTACACACATTCCCCTTCCTTCCCTTCTCTCTCTCTCTCTGTTTTTCACTTTCACCTTCCTCTCTACCAAGGAATTCAAAGTTCCCAGGTTAGGTAAAAGTCTGGAAAAGTTCCCAAAATGTCACAGATTGAGTTCATGCTCACTTTTCCTCATCACCTCGACAAATGTGAAAGCAGATTAGGAGGAAGTAAAATCACTGGATGAATCACATACGTCTCACATAGTGAGTGCTTGACAAATCAGCTAAGGTATGTTTATCATGGCAGACTCTATCTCCGTCTGCGGCCGGTTAAATAAGTACTTCTTTGCTGGCAGGTTTAGGGCCAAGGAACTAAAGTTGAAACCTGCGTTGTCTGGTGAGGGTTTAAGTTCTTGAGTTCTCCAAAAAGTTCCCAGAAAAGTTCCTGTAGTTACAATTTTCTCATTACAATCTCCTCTTTCTCTTTTTTTCCTCATTCTTTCCATCTTCTCACCTTTTTCTTTATCCCTCATGTTTTTCACATCCTTTCCATATGTTTTCTTTTTTTTCTCAAAGAATAAAATAAAAAAGTTTTCTCCCTTCTCCCTCCCTTGCCCTTGTTGTATCTCTTTCCTCTCAATGTTCTCCGGGAAACCTTTTTAGAACCAAGTCCTGTTTGGTGTCACACCTCCTGCCCCCACCCAGAAACCCCTTGTTAGTCATTTCTGACGTCCCAGGAACTGTCAGGGAACAGTTTATGGTGTTGAGTGCTAATTGATCAAACTCCAGTCCTGCTGTTTAACAGCAAATAAAGTTTGTATTAAATCTAATCTGAATCTCCAGACGGAACATATTAATACATTTAAAAAAATGAGACAAGGAGACATTTTTCTCATCTTTTTTCTGCCATGCCAATTTTATAACTTTGCCTCTCAAATTATCATTAAAATTATTTTTTTTTACAATTTTCAATCCTTTTAAAATGTATCTCCCCCCCCCACTCCCTCTCTCTTCATCTTTTTATGACTCGTGCTCACATCTTGTCAAGCCCAATATCCAGTCCTTCACAACTCTCATTAAACACACCTTCAGCCTTGTGCTAAACTCACTGTACAAGGAGTATGACTTAAATAAATGTGTTTTCTTCAGTGACGTGTAACTATGGAAACGGAGGTTGTCAGCACACGTGTGATGACACAGACACTGGGCCGGTGTGCGGCTGCCATCAGAAATACGCCTTGCACTCAGACAGCAAGACCTGCATTGGTAAGTGACAACCATGTTGACCTCCTAGTTCATGTACGCACACTTAGCATGAAGCGCTCACTGCTGTTTGACCGAAACACCTGTTGTATGACGAGAAACGTTTTCTTTTTGCACACAGAGTTTTCCTCATTGCTAGTTTTCACGATTGGACCTTTATCTTCTCATTGTTACCACTATTTTAACTTCAGGGTGATTTGCATAGTGCTGATGGTTTAATTCAAGCCAACTATTAAACTACTTCCTGCGGTTCACACTTTCTGTCTCCATGTCTTCGTTAAACAGTGTCTCATATTTGCCTCCATCATCTATGGGCTCAGTTTTAACAATCTAATATACTTATCTAAGCATCTAAGCAAGTACATCTAGGTCGATGTTGCTGTGCCAGACACTTGATTCAAAGGGGTTGTACTTAGTCGCTCCATTAATCATGGGTGTGATTTTATAATTAACCAGAGTACCAATCTCACATTCCCAAAGCCAGGTGCACTTGCACCTCGGTGGACTGATAGAGAGAGAATGATTTGAGGACCAACACATCTATGGAGGCTGAGACCAGGTCCCTGTGCCACGCTGGACAACAAAACGACTGGTCTGAAATTTGCATTGCAGTTGTTGCTGATTTGAATTGAATGTAAGGAAGGGTCCTATGTCTCAGGCACACCATTATTATGATAATGCCCATAATACATTTGGAGGGAGTGTCACAATGGGTAAGTGTCAGGACCAAGGAATGAGCAGTGGTATGCTAAATGTATTAGAGAAACTTTGAAGTTCAAATGACTGACATGTGTCAGTGGACTGGACCAGCGACCGCCAGGCAGCTCTTTCTGCTCAAACAGGTTATTTGAACATAAGACCATCAACAGAAGCAATCCACCGATCTCTGGACATCCTCCGGACTTTCTCCACAGGGACTGTACACGTGAACTCGGAGTTTCCGCTGACGTTCTCCGCCCCTAAAGTCTGCAGAAATTACGGAGGAGACAATGTAAGACCACAGCAGGGGATCCTTTGCAGGATACACCGCAAGCGAGTGGGCCCAGTGATGACGTTTCACATGCAATAGATGCAAAAATAACAGGACGAAAATGTTAAGAGAGGTTGTGGTGATAAGAGCCGACGCCGGTAAACAAAAACATGTGATCTCTGCAGCAGAATCAATACATTACATCCTGCCTCTGCCTGCTGCTCCAGCCCTAGCCTGAATCCATATGGAAGATTTGTTTGCTATTGCGAAAGTGTCTGAGGGGACATTTTGCTGCTGCGTTGTTCACGTGTGAAAGGCAAACTCTGGAGAAAGTCCGGACCTAATTCTCCTCCAGAGGTCATGTCTGAAAATGGCTAAACAGAGGATGCTCATTCATCCTGCTATTTCTCTAAAGAGTAGAGGGAGAATCAAGTGTTTCGGGTAAGTAGAGTTATTCGTAACTCTGTATTCTTCACCTACTTACTGCTGATATGAATGTGACAAATAATTTCCTCATCACTTCAGTACTTTTGTACTGCAGCTTGTTTGAGTATATTTCAGGTTTTATGTTGATATATAGACACATTTGGCCTGTTAAAGACAATCTTCTGTTATCATTGAGAAGAGATTGTTTCTGTTCCTTTACTTTGCATTAGAACTAATAATTTGAGGGAATAAACTAATACATTTATCAACAACTTATCAAAAAAAGGAATCTAGTATGCACAAGACTCATACAATAGCAATAGTCAGCTATCAGCTAACAATACCTATTAGTACAGCAGTTAATTTATTAATACAGCTATCTTTTTATTGAAGCTTATCCAAAATCATAGTAGAACACAACAGCATTTTGGTCATTGTTACATGGTCCTGCACTGCAACAGATATATTGGAAGCAGGAATACTTCAGAAACTATGCAGCTAAAAAAAGGTCCTCTCTAAAATAACTGCTGCTGTTTTTTTAGGAGAAAGGACAGAATCCTAATCAATTGTAGAAAACTTCCCATAAATCCAGCAGCTATTTTTTCAGTAATGAAATTGAGATTGATGTCAGATAGCCAGTAGTTCCTCAGACTAGAAGGTTAGCAAAATGAAGAATGCCAAACAAGAGTCTGGATGTCGTTTCTTTCAGATTTGTGTTCATGGCAGTTCATTCGGAGCAGGAATTCCCAAAGCAGCGATCACTTAAGTTCACACTTTGGAATCACAATGTCTTTTTTTTTAACTCCCCTGCTGCCAGAATCTCTTAACTGGCAGTATGACAGGTCAACAGATGTCCGTCCAATTAATGGGCCACTTGGGAATCCTTGTGACTGGTCATGTTCTGCTTGAGTTGTATTTGAACACTGTAAACCTTGAGGAACCAATTAAACTAATGTTTTTTTTCCCCATATGGTCCAACCATTATAGACAAAGTGTAATTTTTTTTAACATGTAACCTGTTGAGATTTTTACACCTGTTCAACTACACACACGGACATGGAACCATCTGATGTATTCAAACACTGGAAACACCCCTCTCTCTTTCTCTCTCTCTCTCTCTCTCTCTCTCTCTCACCACTTGACCCACGCTGGCCTGCTTTTCAGCAACAACAGGTTGTGATTGCCGATAACCCTTTTATTTTTCAGCTGCTCTGAAGAAGTGAAACAGCCCATCGAGCGAAAGCGGCGAAGACGAATCCAAATGAGTGCGAGCAGGAGCCTTCCTCTCCCACTTTTCCTAATATCTTGTCTTTTTTTCCCCTCGCTATCTCTCTCTCTGTCTCTCTTGACGAGAGAAAGGATCCCTGTGTCTGTGGTCCAAGACCCCCAGCTACTCTGTGGGCCAACCTTTGAGGCCCCCACCCTCTTACCCTTTCTATATAGTGCTACACCTCTGCTTCCCCTTCCTCCTCCCCCTCCTCCTCCTGCTTTCTGGTGATAGTACCTGATTGCCTGTCTTGTCTGAGCATCCATATTAAAACTAAGGTGGAAATAAGGATTTATCCTCAGTTCACAAGAGGAAAGAGTGATTGTGTGTGTGTGTGTGTGCGTGTGCGTGTGTGTGTGGATAGGGCTTGGGTTGTGGGGTGGGGCCACATGTTAACCTCTGTGGTTAACAGCAGACATCTCAATTGCAGCCTGATCTTAGGTGAAGCTCCAACGAAAGCAAACTCGACCTCCTCCTCCTCCTCCTCCTCCTCCTCCAGCTCTCTCACTACCTCCTCATCCTCACTTCCATCACAAAGTCCCGAATAAAAACCTACTAGATCTCTGAAAACTAAAACCTGCCAACATCAAAAATGTCCTCCAAGCCTCATCCCCATCCATCAGCCTGTGTTCTTGCTCCACACACCTTGATAGAAAGGCAAGGACTTTCGCTGCTCATCTTACATCACTCTCCGAACATGTCAATCCTACTGCACGTGTCCACTCATATGTGCCACATCATCCATATCCACATCCATTTCTCTGCCTCTTTCTCTAATCTCTCTGCTTTTCTGCTTGCCCTGCTGCATGGGAGAGCCTGCATTGCATTTGTATGGTTTCCTTTCCCTCATTCCTTTTTATTTTCTTATATTATTTACTTTTGGAAATTAAGAACACTCTCATTGTGTTTTTTTTCTCTTTTTTTTCAAAACCCTGGTCCTCCTGTTTCCTTCCCGTGCATATGTTTTCACCATTCTCCTCCTAGCTGTAGCAGTGTAAAAATGGTTTAACTCCCCCTCACCCCCACCCTGCCGCCGCTCTGTGTAGGTCGGGCCCCCCTTTCTGTGGGCCTCCGACCACCACTTAGTCCCATACACTCTTTAGGAGCCAGTGGCTGGGACTCCTCTCTTCCCACCTCTTCTCAACCTGTCTCACACATCCACCTCTCTCTCACGCACACACATTTTTATCTCCCTCTCTGACAGATCTTTTCACACGCTCGAGCAAGTAGACTCTTTAAAGTACACACAATGGTATGCACAGGCTCTAACACACACATACACACACACACACACACAAACACACACACACACACACACACACACATTTTACCAGTTAGCTGAGCACCAGAAAACCTCCATTCATCCCTGAGTGTACTTCAGAGAGTCCTCCACTTTGAGAGGAGAGAGGGAGACAATGGTCGAGGGTTTGGGCCAAGGAATAGAGGGGATGTTAATTACCCCAATATACACCCCCCCCCACACACAGACCCACAACCCCACTGGAGTGTGTACATCAAAGGCCAGTCCTATGGCGGCCAGTAGCATTCATTTACATAGAGATCGTCATTCAGGCCCTAATGACTGAGGCCAAGAGAAAAGCTTCCCTCACCCGGTCCCATCACCATCCCCAAAAACCATGCATATGCCATCGTAACAGCCATCTCGCCCCCTTTCTAGAACAAATATTGCCTTCCTCCCTCTCCCTCCACCATCACCTCCCCCTAACCCACCCACCCACACCCCCCTTACACAGCTTTGGGAATGTAGTTTTTCCAGCGTTGACTGTTAAAGCCACTTGTGATGTGTTCCATAGACAAACAGGCAACCAGCGCTGCCCCCAGACTCCTCCTGCTTTTTTATGTCTCCGCCTGCCCTCCCTACACCCCCTTCAAACCCCATTTCTCAGTGTGTGCACCCCTCCTTCCTTTCCATTGTGTGTCATGATGGGACCAATATTGTTCTTTTGGTCCTGTCCTCTATCTTGCTCTCTTTTCTTACTTTGTTCATCATTGTTGTCTCAATCACCTTACCACAACTCTGTTTTTCATGTTCTCCTGTTTAACTCGGCATCTTCCTTCTCTGCACCAGCCTCCCTCCTCTTTCCTGTCATTATCATCACCTAATGTCCGTTTCCTGTCTTTGTGCCCACATTTAAGGCAGCTTGTCTTGTAAATGTTGGACATGTATCCTCTCTTCCCTCTCTCTTGTCTTCTAACTTCATCCTAACGCAAGGAAATCATTGCTGACAAAGTGTGGCTGTTTGATATGGAAGACAGAAACTCCATCTGTGACAAAAGCAATGTCAACATCAGAACTCAAATCCCCAAAATGTTCACCCCCAACCCTGTTCCATTCCCCAAACCCCACACCTCCATCATTTTTTAAAAACTTTTTTCATATGTAAGCCATGAACGTTCTCCCTACCCTGTCCTACCTACCCACTTTCCTTTACAACTGCTTCATTTTGTAAGCTACACACTGATACTGATCATTTTCATTAATTTTGTTTTGTTCTTTTGATTTCCTCTGGGATATTTATCATTTGTTTGGGGATTAACACTCTAACAGGGATTTTGGCTCTTCTTCATCGCTTCTTGCTTCTTGGCTTGGTTTTTTGCTCAAACGCCAAGAGGGGCTGAAGGTCTGGTCATATGGGCTTCTCATTAACCTGCTGCTCACTGTTTGTCCCCTTGTCACTTGTGTTTTAGAGAAAGATGAGGCTGCAATTGAGAGCTCTGAGTTCAATGCCACGTCAGTAGCTGATGTGGACAAGCGGGTGAAACGGCGGCTACTTATGGGTAACTCTTTTCTTCCTCTTTCTATGTGTTGCCATGGCGCTTGTGCTTGTATCCCCGACTCTACTCCTTTGCGTTCTTCCTTGTCCCCCTCTCTCTGTCTTTATTTTATCAAGTTTTTTTGTAAACCTTTGGTCCCCACTGTGTCTACTCCCACAGTCACAGTTTTGTCACTACCAAACGTGATGAAAAAGGAGTGAAAGAGGTCACTGTTTCCCTTTAAACCCTTTCTCCCCAACTTTACATACTTACATTTCTGGATGGCTCGTAGGTTTTCTGATGAACTCACTTATACTTTTCCAGTTACACTTTACTCCAAATGTTTTGTGTTAAAGTTATTTTTTTATATCTTAATAGAAAAGTTAAACCCCTGAAAATGGTCATAAAACCAACTTGCCCCACAATTACAAAGATACACAATAAACGTGTTGTACTTGGCAGAATATCTCATAACCGTAATCTCCAGAGCTTTAGTACAGGTGAAGAAAGAAACACCCATCCTATGATATCCCATGGTGCTGATAAAGCTGTCTCCGATATCCTGGTGCAAGTGCATCACTTAGACTTTGAGTTCTATCAAGGTTGAAGTCAGCAGACTGGACAGCCCATTGACCAAATGGATGTTTTGTCCCAAAAATATGTCATGATTAAGACCTCAAATGGATTTCCATCAGTCAATCAATACAATTTTATTTGGATAGCCCATATTTACCGGTTACAATGTGTCTCATGGGCTTAACAAGGTGCAACATCATCTGTCCTTAACCCTCAACAAGATAAACATAATAAAAAACCCTATTAACAGAGATAAAACATGTAGAAACCTCATAGAGGGTCACATGTGAGGGTTCTCTCTCTCAGGGCGGACAGAAGTGCAGTAGATGCCACATGCGGAGCTGAACGCACCAACGAAATTGCAACATTTATAACAGTGATTAGAAGAAACGTAACTTTTTTAACATTATGGAAAGGTGTATCAATGTTTCAAGTAGTTATACTTAAGAAAAGGTCTGATAGAAATGAAGTGAGCACCAATGGAGGAGTTATTGCCAGTTATGGTATGTGACTAGGCACATTAAGCAATCATGTTGTATTCATAGTCCATGGTCAGCTGCCACCACCACAATCCGTCACCACGATCCATGATCAGGATCCACCATCACGATTCACAGTCCACCATTATGACCCACGATCAGCTGACAACCACGATCACGATCCACCATCACAATCTCTGATTCGCAATCCACAGTCATGATCTGCCGTCAACGATCACAATCTTCAAGCCAACAATTCATTTATTTTACTCACGTGTCTTAATGTTCATGGTTGTCTGTGGTTTCGGTGGGATGATTGCAAGTAAAACATAAGATGAAAATGGTTAAAGTTAACTTTAGTCCGTGGGGCTGCATGAGTCACATGAACTCCTGGGTATACTTGAACCACATTTAACGAACTACTGGTCGAATCAATCGGTTTTTAGGTTCATCTTTGGGAGTTCTACTCTGCTATGAACACCAAGGAATCAAATACCTCCAATTAAAAGACTTAAAACACTTCACACTTCTACATGTTGCTCTTTCAATAAATGCAGTGATTCATTAAATATTGTGTTTATGAATTGTTCAATGGTTAATTCAGTATAAGTTGTGTTTTTTTCTGAAGCTCCACTTCCTAGTATTGCTGCTCTGAAGCAACGAGCTGTACAAACTGTAATGTCTTTCATTTCACTCGATTCTGGCCAATGTGGCTTGGAGGAAGACTGAAGAATTTGGTTTTAAGGATGAATCCTCATCCCCCTTATGCTTCTCTGTTTTCATTTCTCCTCCCTCAATTACCTTCCCCTCACTGGCTAAACCCTGATTCACCTCCTGTTGTACCAGCATGTTCTCTGTTTGGTTACTCCACTTTTAACCTGTGGTGGATTGTGCGTCATGTTTACCCCACTAGGATTACATGGAAATACCTAACAGGGATTGAAGATATTGATCTGAGTATGGAGGTTTTCTTTTCAGGGTAGCTTCTCCACAATGAGATCCCGGTCAACCACAGGAACATTTGTTTAAGACTTAAACCTAACTTAGTTTATAGTTTGAATGGTTAGTCAGCCAGATGCCCTTCATTTCAATGAACTGTAATTGCCTCCGTGTTTCACAATGATTCAATTCCAGCTGGTTGCCAACAAATCTTCCTAATTTCACCTCTAATATATGAATAAATAGAAACATAATCCCGAAACGTTCACAACCGAAATTGAGGTAATTTACTCTTCAGCCAAAACTTTAGTGATGTTGCCTTGACTACTGAACATGGACTGGTTGTTGAATGTGCAGCTATATGTAGTTTGGGTGATTTCTGTGAGATGCTCCCCACTTCATTCATTACATTTAAATAAAAAGTGCCTTAATAATCTTAACAGTTCACTTGTAGATTAATCCTAGTGTTATATATTTTGACCCACTGTGTTTTAAGACTACAGCCTCAAGTTTTATGAGTGTCACTGACTAATAAGCACTAATTCATGTTTTCACATATTTGAGTACTAACCCCTAAATTGAGCTAATCCTGAAAATACCAGCTAATCATTCAGTATTTGAGTTGAAACATGCACATATATGTGCGTCCACCATGTCTATGTACAAGAAGGAATAAATGCACATGCATGTGGTTGCTGAGAGCACACAGGCCACCCCAGTGCTGCACTGGTACAGCCTAAACAGCATCGATATGCTAGATTTGACACTGCTATCAGTTTGTCTGCTTCCTCTGACAAACAGCGTTCTTGTCTCTGCCCCTGCTACCATTGCACAGTGCAGAGAACATACTGACCAAGACAAATGGAAGTGCAGCTGAGACTCTAATGAAAAGGTGCCGCTGAGACAAGGACAGGCTACAGAGAAAGTGAGGGATGGAATGGAGAGGGCAGAGGAGAGGTGGACGCGTGTGTGACTGGAAAAGTCATTCCGAGAGACTTCATTATGGTGATTATGAATAAAAAGCTAACTGAGGAACAAGGAGCTGGAGAGGAGCACAGCAGCTGTGGTCCTGGATTTCAAATAAACATCAGCTCAGGACAGTTGGAGCTAAACTGCAGTGTGTGTGTTTGTGTGTAGAGTGATTACAGGCCAAAGATATGCAGACTGACAGCTGATTTAGCTGCCCATCATGGTGCTGTAGGTATCCTGTTGAGCACTGAAAAGTGGTTGTGCCCTTGTCACCTTTTTATAACAGTGCCGCAGTTGTCGTGACTTGGCTCGGCGCTTTAATTTACACAGTGTACATGCCTCTCTCTCTCATGCTCTCCAGCTTCAATCAATAGAACATGTGTCCTCCCCTTACAGAAAGTGGTTTGCAGCAGTCAGCATATCCATGCAAGGAGTGTGATGGACATGTGTATGCTCACCCCCTCTCATTCCTCTGCCACTGAAAAGTGTAGTAGCTACAGAAGAGGCTTGTTAAATCTGCAAAGAGAGTCTCATCTCACCTAAAATTGTGCATCATCTCATGAATATGTTAGCAATTCACACGTCCTGCTCTCTTGTTAGTTCCATTCCATTTAAATGCCTGCAATAACCTGCATGATGATCTCTTTCATATAGGCAGGACACCAGTCAGCAATGCTAATAACTGCAAGTTTCCTTCCAAAGTGAACACAATAGTTTCTATCAGCTCAAGTTATTTAGTGACCTGAGTGAATAAAAATAAATGCATAAAAGAATATTGTGCACAGATTCATGTACGGTGACATGTTAACACAGTAGCATGTTTTATCTGTTTCATTGTTAATCCACATGAATGAAGTTTGGAGTCTTTAACTTTGACAGTGAGCATTGAACAAAATAGTTTGGAAGATATGAGTATTTGCTTTCTTGCTGACATTTTATGAGTGGTACTTCATATCTGATTATTACATATGAGGTTATCTCAGTTTAGCGGAAGCAGGGGGAAGTCTTCTTTGTCTTAAGGGGATAAAGGCCCCCTGTTAGCTCACAAATGACGGGTAGTTTTCTTATGTTGTTTTGTCTGTTACTTTTGCAACATAAAATTTGGATGAACATTTGATCTCTATTTATTCTTAAGTGAAAAATTGGTTAAAAAAACACCAGAGAAAGATTCAACATTAAACAAACAGCAGAAGACTACGTCAGAATCCATCATCATCAAACACACACACACACACACACACACACATACACACAAACCAGGCCAGGACGGAAAGGGTTATGGGGGGCTTGTCCAGCACATCAATCACGCCCAGCGGTGCGTCTGTGTTCCCACCCTCAGCTTTGCCCCGAGGCCGGACGTGGCCTGGAGAGAGAAGAACTGTGAGCAGGACTGTGCTCACCCTCAGTTAATGATAGGGCCCACTGTACTCAGTATAAATCATTCTGACCCATAACCACCACATCCACTGACTCACATGCACATACACCTTTAACACTCACACACGCCAAATTGACTATATACACCTGTGCAGGCACGCAGACCACATTACAACACACACACGCTTTGCAGAGACCCAAGGCTGGGGAGGGCTGAGGGGACAGGGTTCTGTTATCGTACCTTACTGGGCCAATCAGACAGGCTGCCTGGATGATGGAGTGTCTCTCCCTTTAGCCAACACCACAATGCAGCATCTAAAAAAACCTCCCACCCTCATTCCAGAAACTTCTCTGTGTAAGAGAGTTTGGGATTCGTGTGATTTGAAGTGTTTGTCCTCTGAGAGAGGGATCAATAACACGAAGATTAAGAATGTGGAGTTCAGAGTTTTGACAGGTTTAACAAAGTGAAGAACAAATGCCAGTAAGAACACAGATTAAAGGGAAGAAGCTGTGACACTGATGTTTGAGGCTGCATGAGAGAACACACTAATGTGCAAATACCTTCCTGTCTCCTGATAGACAGCACAGGCCCTCCTGGCTCTGATGTGTTTGTGTCTACATCAGGGCGTTATACTAATTTCTTGACCTCTGACAATGTGTGTGCTGGACAGAAAGTGCTTTTCCTGTTTCTCTCTTGACTCAGGCTCACAATGTCCCGTCAGTTTAATTAAAGGGGACAAGTCGCCACAGAGAAAGGGAACATCCCTGATTTATGTCACTGTTTGAATTCTAACACGTCAACCTTTAGGAACTAAGGAAAACAGATTTGATGATTTGCTTTTGAGGTTGACCATTGGCCAAGTGTCTTAACTCCTAATTCATGTGCTCATTCGCACAACAGTGCTATGTAGGACTTCAAACCCACCAAAAGCAGAACAGTTACTAAGTGAATGTGCCTTATTAGGTGTAGATTCATTAAATCCCTTTCAGTCAAGGGTCAACATCAAATTTCAGCCTCTTCAGCACTTCTTCATGCTCATTGGGAAAGTGTGTGCTGAGCTTTGCTAAAGCAACAGCGGCTGGGCAGGTGAGCTAGAGTTACCATGAGCTTGTGTTTGTTTTGGGATTAGCTCAGGCAATATTCACAAGTCCGAGCAAACCTTATCTATGCCACATACAAGAACATTTTTCTGGAGGAAAATATACACGCTGGTTCTGCCGAGAGTGTTCTAGACTTACAGCACCCTGCACTAACTTTATTTTTCTATCTACTTAACTTAACCCTACCTCTTATTTGTGTTAACTGATTTCTTGTCACTTTTGGAAACAGGACCGACCTCTGGGCCAAAGAGTTCTTCACCCTCCCTTATCAGCACAGTGTCATGTGTTTTGTCTGATTGTCTTGAAACATTACTGTCAACGATAAAGAAATCTGGGTTGTGACTTTCTGTGTGTATAAACATTATATTTATCTCTTCATAAAATAATCTCATGACAATCCGTGTGTTGACAAAGCTACATGCAAAAAGTACTATTTTCTTGATTGTATATCCTTCAACTGCATGAAGCTTTGTCTCAACCCACATCACCTTCACTTTCTATAATTTCTTTTTCATGATATTTCAGAAGTAGGGGTCACATGTTAACACCCCCTCCTTCTCTTTCTCTCTTTCCATACTTGTGCTGTCTGCAGAGACCTGTGCCGTGAACAATGGAGGCTGCGACAGGACATGTAAAGACACAGCCACAGGGGTGCGCTGCAGCTGCCCCGTGGGATTCACCCTGCAGCCTGATGGAAAAACATGTAAAGGTCAGTGAATGGATGAAAGTGTATTTGGCCCCTCAAGCCTGCTGTTAGGGTGAGTGGTGCATAGCTCCTGTTCACTAAGCACTTCAGGTCCACCTGAGCCTGCTGGTATCTGAGTTATCCAGAGCCAGAACCGACCCCACTTCACTTTCAACTGCACGTGGCTCTGGTCATGGTCACCGACACTGCTGCTGCTTGTTTTGGTTGATTTTGCCGCTGAGCATTTCTCCACTTTGGATAGCCCGCCGGTGACATCAATGACGGTGGTCCAAGGAGACAACCGCTGAAGCATGTTCCTAAACATCCCCGAGTAGAACAGATTATTATAGGGTTTTGGCTTTCAACTAAACAAGCAGTCTCACTGAATGAGGCCGACTGGTGAGTTCAAACTGAGTGAAACACTGGTCGGGAGGCATTCTGTTTCTTGGAGCGTGGACAAGTTCAGTGAGAGATTTGCCGGAAACTATGTGGAAGACATGGATCAGTGTTTCTCTTACATTACAACTCTCTTACCAGTGGTGCCATGGTGCCGTAGAGGCAATGATGTTTCTGTAAATACAGCACAGTTCATGCTTAGCTTAGTGAATGCCATTATGGGTACATGAAGGAGCCAAGCAAAGTAAAATTATCACGACTCAGTTCTCTACCCATTCATATGCAGATTCATGTGCTTCATGTTGACAACCTGTGGACATATAAACTACTGAGCAAATAAATAAATGGGTTAAGTCCAATTTTCCAGTTTCTGAAAGTTCCATGCTTTAATATAGCACTGATGATGATGATGATGATGATGTGTACGTGTGTCTGTGACGTGTTCAAGGAGATATATGAGTCATTACAATAACGGAGTAGACAGTGGGTGCGTCATGTGATGTGAGGTGAATATCGCCTCTGTGTGTGTTGTGGAGTATGTGTGTTTGTGAAATGAGTGTCAGGCAGTTTGAGAATGTGGCATTTAGGTGTGTTAAATCCTGGAGCCAGAGCTGTCTCAGGCCTGGCGGGCAGACGACACGTCGGCAAACTCGGAGATGTTTGAACAGTGAGGCCCACACTGGCCACTGTCTCTCCCTCTCTCTCTCTCTCTCTCTCTTTCCCGTACACTCGCCTGACAGACACACTCACACAGACAGCACCATCCAGCTGCAGCGCCAGGAAATACAGCAGTTGATCTGTAAATGTACCCGCGTGTGATTCTTTTAAAATTTACATTAGAAGTAGAGCAGAACGTCTTCTTAGATAAATGACATAGTACATACTTTAAATTCCCTGCCGTCTCTGTGCTGAACCAAAACAGCACGGGACAGGTTTTCAGATTTCTTTTGTCTATGCTTTCACAAAAAAAAAAAAATCATGGTTTGTAATCAAATTATCACTTGATTAATGAAAGAATAAGTACAGGTTGAAGATGCAGATACAGATGCACCTCCAAAACAACTGATGCTGTTGTTCTTCCTGAGAAGACCATCTTAAATAGAGTTAATCACTGGATTTCGTTCATTTAAAAAAATCTAAATCAGTGGAAACACACATAACTGTCCCAACCACTTGACTTGCCCGACAGGCTTGTTGCATACTGGAAGAACATCTTGCCTGCTGCCCTGATGTCAAGTCCAAGCCTAGCAGCTTGTGCGAACACTTCCACTCTGTCTCCCCAGGTGATTTGTGGTCCTGACAGAACCCAGCATTTACAGTGGTGGAAAAATGAAAAGTTCCCCCTCCATTTTTGGGTCTGAGTTGAGTGGGGAAGATGGATAGGCACGCAGTCCAGCTGTGCCCCACCCACATAATTTGGAGCTGGATCAGCCCCCAGGCTTCATAAATCCCTGAACAGGGATCAGTGCTGAGGGGAGCTGAGAGACAGAGAGCAGGCAGCGCCCATCGATCAGTATCCATCAACTGGGCATCAAGCAGGAAAACACACACTGACGCACACTGATTCAAACCAAGAACTTATCTATGCACACATGCATTGAGTGTGCACCACCTCTTGACATCCTGCAACATGACTGCCGTGTTTTTACAGACAGCAGCAGTCTTCATCACCCAAAATGCCTCTGAAAGGAGGTTCTAAAACCTGAATGACTAGAGTGAGCCAGTGATCAAACATCTGTTTGTGGAAAATGTGTCAGATCCAAGGTGAAGCTACAGTGTTGGAACAAGTGGCAGCAACATCACCTTCAAGCCTTTAAGAGTTTTTAGCAGGAACATTTTGTTTCTGTGCTTTATTTTGGTAAAATGTACTGAAAATACAGTATAGCTCTCCTTATAAGGACCAGTTCACGCAACTGCAAAAATACAGTTTCCGTGTTAGTGTTACTAACAGTGTCTATCCAAGCAGAATAATTCTAATTTCTTAAATAGCACTTGGTTACAAAGTGACCAAGGATAAAATAACAAAACAAGGACAACAAATGCATGCAGACAATCTCAATAAAAGTGAGGAAATAAAAATGGTCTGTATTTATATAGCGCTTTCCCAGTCCTGATGACCACTCAAAGCACTTTACAGAACAGTTTTACATCCACCCATTCACGCACAGGTTCATACAGTGCATCTATGTGCAGCACTTCATGAGAGAGAGAGAGGGGCCAGCACACCATGGAAGATGGGGACTGAAACTGAAAAGATGGAAAATCATTTAAATGACATATGACACACATATTCAAAAAGGTTTTCATGTTCCAATGTTCAGAAATTGCATCAATTGCTCATACTGCCCATTGCTGCAGTTTCTTTCTTCAGCCTCTGTCTGAAACACTTTTTTAGCTCCTGTCTCTTTAAGGGCCCCATCCCTATAGCGCTCATCTTCCCTGATTGGCCAGCTGACTCCCTCTGTTGTGATTGGTCAACTGCTTCCAATGTGTGCCTTCACTCTGGCTTTCCCTGGCTTAGTTAGGGGGCCGTGTCAGAGTAGCCACTCGGCTCACGCTATGCGAAAGTAGAAGTACGATTAAACCACCTAAAAACTGTCTCAGATAAACAACACATTGCATCTACTTAGAATATTTTGATAATTTGTATCAAAGGCTGTGCACAAATCCTCCAGTATGAGATCTGAACAATAACCTGACTCCAGCAGTGATCATTTGTTACTCTAACAAGTTTTCAATCCAATCCAATTTTATTGGTATAGTGCCAAATCATGCCATAAACTTTACATAGTAAGGCTGAAACCTCTGGTAGCGCCAGAGGAAAGGTAGGTGGAAAAGAGGAGAAAAAAGAGAGGAGGAGAGAGAGAAGAGAGATAAAGAGGGAGAGAAGTGCTCAGTGCTTGAAAGTTTAGAAATTGATACATACAGTACTTGTTGGAATCTAAAAGGTCTAGTCATATGAAACAGTGCATAGTGCACAGGCAGTGAATGGCTTATGCTAAAAAATAGTCCGATTTATAAAACTGTGAGTACGCATACCTTAACGCAATGTTAGTTATAATGGAATGGTGCAATCACAGTCCACCTGGAAACGTGTAAATGGATCTGCCTCATATTCCACCCTCTACACACTCACATTCAACCATTGGGTCAGTCTAAACTGGACTCGGTTCAACACAAAGTTTAAAAATCACAGCTCTTAAGAATCTAAATCAGCTGATGAGTCAGTCATCATCATGGGCCAGGAAATCTTTGTGTGCTCACGTAACACTCGTTTCCCCCTCATCCTTCAATCAGCGTACTCCTCCTGCACTTTCACGTCTCCAAAATGTTCATACACCAGAGGTAGTGTACAGGACATTCTCCCGTCAAGTTCGTTTTTATAGATCCTTTTGCGTGGTCTCTTTCAGATCCACTATTGTGCATACACAACGGTTATAAATGAGGCTTCTGATCTTTTATAAGTCCCCACGAAAAACTTCCTTTGGGGACTATTATCCAGAGTAATGGGGATTCAAAATGTTCCTGTTAAATTTCTGTGGGAATTTTTAAACTGTATAAGTGAGGCCACATCAAAGCTGCTTTCAGACAGGCACTGAACTGAAGATTCTCCAGAAGAGGTGTATGTGTGAACGCAAATATCCTATCAGATATCAGATTTTCTGCTGACATTCTCCGCCTGGCCCCCTATAGGTTGCAAAAAGTATGCAGAAGTTGATGTGAGGGCACAGCAGGATAATCACTGCGAGTGGGTTGATGATGCCTCTAACACGCAAAAGATGCAAAAAAAAAAAAGAAAAGATATCCAGGTGAAAAAGTGGTGACACACTTGTTGTAGTCACCGACAACAATGACAATAGTTTGTGGTGATAAAGGCCGACACTGGTGAAATCATGTGATCTCCACAGCACAATTCATACAGTACATTACATCCTTCCTGTGCCTGCTGCACCATCTCGCACCTTAATACTGCGGAGGATTTGTTGTTGTTGTGAATGTGTCTGAGCAGAGAATCTCCCGCTGTGTTGTGCACGTGTGAAAGGAAAACTGCAGAGAAAGTCTGGACTAAGTTCCTCCACAGGACATGTCTGTAAAAGGCTTGGTAAAAGGTTTTATTTGTGTGGCATTTGTGGCAACGAGACTGTTAAAGGGTAGTTTCACATAGTCATAGCCACAACTCCACAATCTGCTCCAATTCTTTCCTGTTTTCTTACAATTAGATATTGAGATGGAGGATGAAAGGCAACAAGGCTCCCTAATTGGACTTGAATTGGAATATTATTATATTGGAACATTGGAATAGAACTCACATACACTTATCAGACTTCTCTTTAACTGTAAATACATATCGCTGTTGGAGAGACGACCAGAAGTGAGCTGCCATCGGTTCAAACTCAGACCCATCTTGCTGTAAGGTGACTGTTCTGTCCACTGAGCCAAAGCATGGTCTGTTTTTGGGTTCCAGTTTCATTTTGCTGGTTGCAACAATATATATCACAATCATCCATTTCACCAGCTTCCACTGTAGATCTGAAATGTGCACTTCCTCTACCTGTTAGAGTGACTTTGCTCTTTAACCCATTCTTTTTTGAACGAGCCTCAACGGCCTCCAGTTCATTTCTAGAGGC